AATTTTGAGAAGCTAAAAATTTTCATATTTATATCTTTTTAGAATGGTTAAACACTTGATTGCTTTAAAGGTGCAATGAAGATGCATGGAAGGGTCACAATGTTGCTATTGGTAAAAGAGTAAAGAGAAATTTCCATACAGATAACATGCAAGTTGTTATCTGATTATAGTACAAATGACATAAAAGAGTGAAGAGTAATATCATATGAAGAAATTAATTCAGAGGCTGGAATGTTATTAACTGCAATAAAACATAAATGAAAAGTTGAACAGTGACCAAGAATTTGTTTTTTAAACAATACTATAACAACATATTGATACTTGTAGATGTTAGTAGTAAAAGATGCAATGCTGACAAGTAGTGGGAAGTTGGAACTTTGATTTGGTTGTCACCAACATCAACAAAAAGCTAGGTTCTTGAAAATTACTTCAAGAAAAACATAAATGTAAAATTGAAAACAACACTAGCTTACACAAATTCCTTTCATCCGAGCAGCTGCTACAGATTGGCGAATGTGATTGATATCAAGACCCCAATTGGCCTCTTCTTCTAAATAATATGGAACAAGAGATCCACCATACAAGGATATTGTAGCTGAATAAAGAGGGTATTGTGGAACTGGAACCAAAATCTGTCAAGTTACAAGTGTTTAATCCCGACAATCTTAGAAGAAGAAAAACTGCAAATTAGAGAAATCAATAATGGCTAACATTATGTATCATGGTTTCTTTCCTTTTTGAGTTTTGTTTGGGTATATGTTTATATTCTCAAGAAAAATCTTACACCATCGTTCTCATTTCTGATTATAGTATTTAAAATCTGCATCACACCTTTGCTAGCTCCATCAGTGAGATATATCAACTCTGGGTCACTGCAATTAGTGAGATACAAGATTAATATCCTTACTAAAATTTAGTTACTATGTTCCTTTGTTAGAATATAATCAGTCAGCTTGGTCATAATCTTGTTACCTAGGGTACCCATCACGCCGTCCAATAAACTCAGCAATTTCTTTCCTGATTCCAGGAAGACCTCGGGAATCACTATAGGCACCTGATAGCTCAAAGAAAATTGATGATTCTTGTCAAGAATACCAAAGCATATCATTCTCTTGGATTTATTGCATAATAATAGCTAATAAAAGAATCAAATCTAAGAAATGAGACTGAAAGATTATGAACACCAAACACTGCACTTGAGAATTAAAAATTTTGATTAACCTGGTAAAATACAAAAAAAATGTTGCAACATTGCATCGTCACATTTTACATGAGCTTGGAATAGGCCTAGTATACTAGCATGAACTATAAATATGGGGACTCTGGGTAGTAGGATTAACAATTTTCCTTTCTGACTTATGATTAAGATCAGATAATCTGGTAAAACAAATATAGCTTCATTGCTGGTTTATTTGGAAAAAAAATATTAAATGACCAAAATCACATCATATCGTATGTGTCTAATTATATAGTTTTCTAGATCTAATGTTTAATGGATCTTGAGGTGCGTGCACACCGAAGAATAATTACGGGTGATATATCCGAAGGCAAATTTGTCCTGAACTGCTGCACCATTGGGAACAATATGCATCCTAAAATGGTGCAACACATTGAAAACATCAGGTTTCATTTTGTTAAATGCCAGTATGATGTATTTATATGATAATGCAGCCAATCCAGTCATTATATAACTCCAAATTATATGCCCCACATATGGATACCAAAACCTAATCGTAGATTAACTGAAATGGTAAAAAGCAACAAGTAGATGCAACACTTGAGTGATTATGGAGCCATACTTCCGCAGGCAAAAAAGATAAGCAAACAGAAACACATGGAAAAGATAATAATAAGGTAACACTGAAACAGTTAGGAATAAGAAATACATAGAATAGAGACAATCAAGATTTATCATTAAAAGTAAAGACCAAAGTGGGTCTTCGAATGAATTGATATTATCAATTTAAAGTCATATGTGATAAAACTAGAGAAAAACAAAGATGGATTATTGGTTGAACCAGAAGTAGCAGACTTTGCACTTATTATTGATCAATGTCTCAAAAGCCCATTAATGAAAAGCATGAACAAGTATGGAGAGATATTTCATCTAATTGCCATCTTAAGGTCAACCGCCAGTGAACAAAAGTGAAAATTTAAGATCTCCAAGCTTGATAAATGAGAAGCATGAACTCTACAGAAAACAGGTTTGACCAAGTTGCCATCTTGAAGCAGTTGACCAATAGAGTACCTAAACCACCCGAGGTCAACGAAAGATAATGTTTAGCTCTATCAATGGCATCTGCTGGGAAGAGAAGCCCAACATTAGGATCATCCAACAAAAATGGAGCCTGACATAATGCTATCACCTGCAAAAGAATGTACCACATAATGTCAAAATTACACAACCAGAAGCGATATCTAAAAAAAAAATCTTCATGAAGTCCGAGCAGGAAAATTTGCTCCATATTGAAACAAATATGTCACCTAACGAGACCTATGAACTTTACACTGTCTATAAGTTTCTCAAACATAGAAAAGTACAATAAAACATTAAAGAAGAAAGAAATTGATAATGATGCATCAACTAGTTTATTGAAAAAGGATAGTGAAGACAGGGAAGACAAATAACCTGACGGGGGAATGTTAGTGGCTTCTGTCCTAGAGCATGAGGATTCCCAACATTTGTAAAAATAATCTGCAAATAACAGAAAAATTCAAATTCATAACAAAATTATGTAAACAAGATTCTCATGCATTTCAATTTTTACCGGTTAAAGACTTTCCAAGAAGACTAACCCCAAATTGCAACATACTTTTTGAGAGTAAATTGCAACTTGATTTTTTTTTTTCATTATAAATCTTGATCTTACACAGGATACGCCAAAGAAATAATAAGAACCTAAAGCAGTAAAATTCTTCAATACTGACATCAATTCTAAAACTAGATATGTTCAATATCAAGGCATTCGACAACACAAGGATCATTCTCTCTTTCCGAAACACGATTCTTAATAAAAGCACAATCAGCAATGTACAACGTAAACCCTGATGCCGCAAAATCAAACATGGTGAAGCGGAAGAAAACAAAACCTTCTTCCCTTCCTTTTGCAGCTCCGAAGCGCGCAGATAAAGCTCGCCTCTCACAGCATACGCGACCTTCTTCACGTTCTCGTTCAGCGACTCGTAATCCAACGGCTTCGGTGCCATTCCCGATGGAGATCCCTCACCTCCTATCCCTGAAATCCAGTCGAAAAAGCCAACTCTTACCCCCAAAACAAAAAACGATTTGATGAGATAAGCCATCCGAAAACGATAAAGAAAAGTTGGACTGCGTCCGATCGGATCGGATTACCACCTGAAAATCTCGAGGGTCAGAGGAGGAGAACAGAGTGAGAGTGCCGACGGAGCCGTTTTAGTGGGTTTCTGACGGCAGAGTTCAAAGCCACTGCACCAACAAAATAAGAAACAAGAAAGGGGGCCGGCAATAAGAATATTTGCTCGTCATCGTTTCACGAATATATATATATATATATATATATATATATATATATATATATATATATATACCTTAGAAAAATATGTGTTAATTTTTTGGATCATTCGTCAGGAGATAATGTACAGAGCAGTCTGTCCTCTCCTTTTATTATTTGTTTATTACTATTTTTATAACACAGAATTTGGGATTGAATCAACGCCACAGAAACTGACAGAAATATATATATTTATTATATATATATATATATATAATTAATGAATGAGAGAGAGAGAGAGAGAGAGAAACTCTGATTGATAGAAAAGAAGAGACAACAAACAGATCTGTAATTGAAGCAAGGCCACAGAAAGAAGAGAGAGAGAGAGAGAGAGACTGCCAATCCGCGGTGGGGGATGAATACGAAACTCTTGGTGGAAAAACTTGGAAGAATTGGGATCTGCAACAAAGGTTTCATCAGGCTTTCATGCAGAGACTTTACAGAGCTTGTGATCTCGAGGAGAATTATTTCATATATGGAAACTGAGGGTAATAACAGCGATAAGACTCGGACAACGTGAGCTCCCCAGATGACGCCTTGACAGCACCTGATCAACACAGATAGGACGACGATCGGGGCACGCCACGTCCTGCGTAAGCCCGGTCGTCCACGCCACGTCAACACCAGTGTCAGACGCTACCAGGAGTACGAGCTTGCCCCCTGCAAGTAAGCACATCAGGAAACAATAAGCTTCCCTATAAATACCCTCACGTCCTGAACGATGAGACGGAGAAAAAGGAGACACAACTCCGTTAAAGAAACCCCTTGCAACTACCCATTAACTTGATCGTCGGAAGGGTTGGGTCGAGCTCCCCGACCCGACCTGTGTGCAAGGATGAAGACGGAGCTCCTTCCCCTGAACACCCAAGCGAGGAACCCCCACCCCCCGGAGAAGCCTGACGAGCTCCGACACGACCTGATCAGCACGACCGACCGCCTTGGTAACCCAGAGGGACGCCGAACAAGATCCCCCATCATTCGAACCCGAACCAAATCGCATCGACCCCGAGGCCACGACTTAAAAGTGTTTACCCTAACAGAAACAAAACAATCGCCACTTGAGGAGAATTAATTGATTCGTATAATTTATGCACATTATAATGTATTTTAATTCTTGTGTTATCATTCATCAACTTTATGTAATATAAATCATTGATCAAAATATTTATATAAAATTGATAATAATATATTTATCAGAGGCTTCATCCTACTTAAATATCAAATATAATAGTTCGATTTGATTAATTAATTAACTCATCAATTTTATTTGATATAAATCACTAATTAAAATATTTAGATTAAAATTAATAATAATATATTTTTTATAATTAATTTTAATTATATTGATTTTTAATATGTGACAAATCGAAATATTATAATTATGCCCAACCACCCTCTATAAAATATTGAACACATGTGATAGTTTCCCATTGTTATGATCCTTAGGATAATAATGATTTTGATGGCTGTCACAATAGATTAAAGAAAAAACCCTTACAATACTTCCCCACCCCCTAATTTACGGATTTGGTGAACTCGAAAGTCCAAACGACCAATTTTCTATCACCTCTCTCTAGTCCACTCCGTCATTTCATTGCATTTCAAACGAAGAACCGAAGGAAGAGCAACACCATGCCTCCGTTTCTCTTCTTCCATCGGCTCCCCCACTCCCAACATAAGCGGCTTACGTTCTCAATCGTCATAGTACGAACAGGAGGCTCTCGGTGTCCTCCGTTCCCGAGGCTCAGCTGCCTAAACTAGCTTGTCGGTGGTGGCGAGCATGCCATCTTTTCTTCGCCTTTGGGTTTGTTTGATGCGAGCATGCATTTAATGTGGCCCTGTCGGTCCCCAACCACTCGCCAAAGTCGTTCTACCTAGCAGTCCGATCATAATGTTTACATAAAGGCAGTGGAGGCTGAATGAAGTAGGTTTCTTCCCCGTAACAGAGCTCGAGATTCCTGTGGGCATGGTGATCATGTGACGCATTCAAATACGTTGTTATACTAACCCTAGACGGTAATGTTGTACCGAGGTAAAAGCATTTATAAAGATCCAAGTGGCCGCTCTACCTCTTCATGCAACTCCTCTGAAAACGTTGTACGCAGGACGTAGCTGTTCCCCGTCCCAAGACAGCCCGACGCTGTTCTCTTTCCTCGCCGCAGCCACCCACAGGGAGCTTTTTACCCTTCTTCCTGGACCTCTCTCTCGCTCTCTCTACGTCTATTTGTCTCGTTCTCTTTGGGAAGCCTATTTGCAAAGGAAGCAATACGTGCAGCTACGTAGAAGAAACGAAAAAGTAATTAAGGATGCTGGCAGGCGCCGCTCCGCTCCTCGGTCCGTACGGTAAGTGGGGGACGAGACAGCGAGAGATGGAAGAGCGAGTACCGCAAGGGGGTGAGAGACCGCACGCCTGTACCCGCTTCTCAAGCTGTGGTAGGGCTGACGCCAGGCTCACATGAGGTCGCTGCGACACGTCAAATCATGCGGCGGCTCACCTCTCTCTTCCCCTTCCCCTCTTATTGAGTTGTACATGTCTCTTCGAAGACAGCAGCAGCAGCGTGTAGGTGAGCAGGAAACATCGGTGGCCAAAACCCATACACATACACGCATCTCTCTGTCGCTCTCTCGGTCGCTGTTTCCTTCTTCTGTTCATGAGGATTGTAGAGGAGTAACGTTGCGGTGGGAACCTGTGTGAGACGGCAAGGAGAATGGAGGGGACGAGGTCAGGAGGAGAAAGGAAGCAGCAGCAGCAGCACTACAGGGGGGTGAGAAAGAGACCGTGGGGGCGATACGCGGCGGAGATACGGGACCCGTGGAGGAAGGCGCGGGTGTGGCTCGGCACCTTCGACACCCCCGTGGAGGCCGCCCTCGCCTACGACCGCGCGGCTCGGTCTCTGCGGGGAATCAAGGCCAAGACCAACTTCCCCCACCAGTTCGCGCCAGCCCCCCCGCCTCCGCCAAACCCTCCGCCCTCCTTCGCAGCCGCTCTCGACCTCAACCACCCATCCTTGCACCTCTGGCTCGGCCCAACCCCAACCCCACCCTCGCCATCGCCACCTTCTCCACCGCCGTCAACCAAGCTGGCCTTGGGAGGGTTCGTGCCTCGAGAGCCTCCGGCTGCTGCCACCTCGTTCTACGCCGTCTCTGCCGGGGGCTTACCGTTGGATCTCAACGAGCCACCGCCGCAGCTGGCGCCTGCCTTATCGCCACTCTTCAATTGAGCAGCCTTCCTCTGATATGCTAGCATTAATATGCTCTGCTGATCTGATCCGTGCATGTGATATCTTTCTCTTGTTATTTACGCTTTCTTTCTTCTTCTACTCGTTTTAAGATTCTTGACGTAGGTTTCGGAGAAGAACAGTAAGGAAAGTAGCAAGCATGCACCTAAAAAATCCATCCAGCTGTATATACTTGATGTTTAAGTGCGTCTTCTCGAATCCTTTTCCTTCAAGGATAGTTTTATGTGGTCGATCCGCACATGTTCTTCTTTGTATTACCATCCTATTCTCCCTCCTTAGTTCCAAGTCCTTCATGCGGACCTTCGGGAAGTCGATCCTTCTGTATATCGTCATACATTTACAAACCTTCAGCGCATGCATGCTCATGCTTTTCTGTATACATCATCGAGTTCGGTGGTGGTTCCCACAAAGTTAGGCTTTTTCTTCGTCGTGTTGTGGGATTCATAGGACCATTGTGGCCGTGGATAAAAAAGAAAAAGGAGACAAAGGAGCGGCGGCCGCAGCGCGGTGCACGCACATCTTTTATTTAATGCAGCGACGAGTCCTTGGGCTTTGCTTTTGGACGAAGAATAGTGGCCGAGTCACGTGTCGCCAAAGCAAGAGCGGAAAGCAATGATCTTGCGCTTGGGGCAGCTGACGTCGACCCGATTTCATGTTGTCATGGGAAATTACGGAGGGCGGAACAACCACTGTTTCTGTGGAATAAAGCCATTTCATGTTGGTCTTTAGTAATCGTTGTTTCACATAATCGAATGAACCACTACGATCATCACCTGTCGAAAGTGGCGACGAATAATATTTGATGAAGAAGGTGCATTGCAAAGCCCAAAATCTGAGTCCCAACCAAATTTGATGAGAGAAGAATCAGGAGCGAAAGAAAGTAGAGATGTAAATTAAGAAGTGAGAATTGCGGCAAACGAAAAAGGAGGACAAAAAGAATAAGAATCATACGTCTGCAACTTGGCATAAGATCGGATAACATCCATGTCTCTATCTATGATTTGGTGACCTCAGGTTGACCCCAGAGTCTTCGCTGGAAACTGTTACTCGGCCGCACCTCTTCCACATCAGAAGCGGCATCGTGAAAGACTCAGCCAGATAATGCGGTTGTTGGGTGATCTTTTGGTAGGGATCTTCCGTGTTCTGTCGCCATGGATCTGAACCTGTGAAGGTACGAACTGGCCATCAACTTCATCACTGTGGCTGTTGCTGCACAGCAACCAAAGGGGCAGGCGGCCTGGACGGTGGTGCGGAAACGGTTGAGATCGCACCGTTCGCGCTCTAAGATGAGCAGATAGGTGGGGCCGGATTGTGATGGGTGGGGGTCCAGCCGGTGGAGATTGGTCAGTAAGCGTGTACACGTTAAGCATCGAAGCCAACATTTATGGCGTCTTCAAAGCAACGTTGCGTGGTTTTTGCATCGCTGTCACACATTTCCCCCACCTCTCTCCCTCCTGTTCTGGCCGCCGGTAAATCCAACAACAAAAGAATAAGAGAAAAAAATATTTCGATACCCACCTCACTTACCGTCAGGTTGTCCTGTGTGGGCCCACACACTCGAACATATCAACACACAGAATGGACGGACCGGTAAACATTTGGGTGGCGGAAAAGCATATCCGAAAGCAAAAGAAGCGCTTGCGGGCCCCCCTTGCTCCCTCCGCGCGTGTTAAAGGGGCGGGATTAGATGCGTTTAAAGTACGGGCCGGCCGCAGGCAGGTAGACAGCCAAGCGGCACGTGGCTCTAAGCGGCACGGTCCACGTGCGGGGCCCTTCGCTCAACCACCGAACCACGACGCGTCACGCGACGAGCGCGGCTCGACGATGGCAACTAATGACACCATCTGCTGACGTTTCATGTTATCGTTGGCTGGGAATCGGCGGAGCCCTTCGATCAACGAAGAGATCTACGATCCTTCTGGCGAATAGAAGCCCGCCACGTCGTCCAAGGTATTTGTATGCTGTCCGCTAAAGGACAGCCGTGCCCGGCCACCCGCCGCGACCGCCGTTCCTCCTCCTTAACGTCACCCTCTCCCACACGCTTCCCCCTCACTGCCTCCGCTGGGTCCGAGACGTGCCCTCCTCGACCGGACCACTCGAAACCCCTCCGTGCGGCAGCGGCCATGCTTAGCAACCCAAACCCAAACCCCCACACCCCCAAAACAAGAAAACCACACCGCTAATGTGCCTCGAACAAAGGCTCTCCATTTTACCCCTTCATCATTGGCGAAAAGAATGTGGGGCCCCAGTCCAGAGGTGCGATTAGCGACGCGGGTAACGAATCGCAGGTGGGGAAACAATCGGTGTGATACGAGAGAGCAAGCTTCTGCATAGAACTCGATCACGACCGCGACGGGGGTCCATGTAAAAGCTGCCGCCCCTCCCCGCGCCACCCCACATCCCCAACCACCGCGCCGGACCATTCACGTGCCCGAAACTTCCGCAAGAATATTCTAACCCGAGGAAGGGCCGGTTTCCCCTCGCCGTCAACGAAACCGCTCTAAACCCACCGTTTCTGCAGACGACAGGATCCGTGGGGCCCAGCCGGCCCCCGACAGAGAGAGCTAAAAGTGGGGCGTAGATTTAAACCAGCACACATCATGCGCGCACACGTGTCCCACCCTGTCCCCTACACCGCGAGTCCGGCTGCCGTCAACACGCTTCTACGCACGCCCAAATAGCACTCGTGATTCGCTATCTTAGCTCTCATCGATCGCCACGCGTCGACCGGTTCGATCCAGCACCCATTTTAAAGCAATCGTGAGAGAGGAAACACTGTCATCATGATGAAAATTAATAATATATTCTGAAAGATAAGAGCACTGAGAGTACACCTCATCTCGGAGCCGACTACATGAGTTCCTTCCCGGAAGGCAAAAGGAAAAAGGCCAAATAACAGAAGAAAAGCTAAATATTTACAAAATTTGCTTCCTTTTTTCGAACATCGCTTGCATAAGCGGAAAAAGAAGGAAATAAAGAGGATTTTTTTTTTCTTTTGTTGATATCAGAGGAGTGGAAGAGTTTGGGGGACGGTCTGACGGTTTCCGAGTCACGCGATCTCCTCCGGCGGAGGGAGGTTGAGGTCGAAAGCGAAAGGGAACGTCTTCGCCTGCGGCGGAGGAGAGCGATAGTCCGGGTGGAGATCTACGACGGAGGAGGAGTCGGAGTCGCTCTGCACGGCGACGGCGGGCGGCGGCTGGAAGCAGGCGACGAACATCGGCGGGCAAAGGGCCAGCTGGCGGTTATTCGTGGCCGACTTTGCGTCCAGGAAAAAGAACTGCTGGGCCGACGGGGCGGCGGTTGGGTATGACTGAAAGGGGAAGCGACCGCCGGTTCCGCCGCGGTAGAGGAGGCCCAGATCGAGGGAGGGTGGGAGCGGAACAGCGAGTGGAGGCACCGCCGCCGCAGCCACCTCGCGGCCTGAGGATTCCACGGTGCTGCTCTGGCTACTGGGGCTGCCAGTGGCAGCCGGGACGGCGCTGGGGCTGCTGCAGGCGTCTGAGAAGGCGAAGTTGGTCTTGGCCTTGGCGCCGCGGAAATCGCGGGCGGCGTTGTCGTAGGCTCTGGCGGCCTCCTCTGCGGTGTCGAAGGTGCCGAGCCAGACTCGGGTCTTCTTGCTGGGGTCGCGTATCTCGGCGGCGTACCGGCCCCACGGCCGCTTCCTCACCCCTCGGAAACGCATCTCCTTCCCTTCACCGTCGGCGACGGTGCTGAGCTTCCCCCTTGGAGCCATGGAAAAGGAACCAAACTCACGCCTTTCTTTCGACTGTTCGATCCTCTCCCCTCTGTTTCGGTTTCCGCGGTGCCTCTGCAGACGACGCAGGGCATTATATATATAGTGGGAAGGGGGTGAGCGGCTTGGATTAGTGTATTAAATAACGATTAGGCTCAGTCAACGAGTGCTTTGACTGTCTCGCCTCGCCCCCCTCGGTGCCGAGCGTGGTCGCATTTAATCGTCCTCTCCGTCCATGCACTTGCTTCGGGAACCCTTTCGGCCACCCTGTAGTGGTACACTAGCGGGCGCCACCCAACGTCCTTACCCAGCCGGCCTCTAGGGGCCCGAAAGAGTTTTGGTTTACGCACCGCGTACGTGGCTTGAAGCAGTCGTGACACGCCCTTCGGGGCGGCTTCCGCTTTTTCGGACATGACGCCGTCACTTGGCGGGCGGGCGGGCGTCAAGATACGTGGACGCGACGGCTGTTCCACCGGGTCGAGTAAACAGGCACTTCCGTGGCGGAGGGCGTCTGCCGCCTCACCGCTTGCGTGACGCGCGTAGGATTCTTCGAGTGGGCTTAGGCAGTCGGGGGGGTAAACGGCGTGACTCGCGGCGCCTCCGGGTGGCGATGGGGCCCGCACCGGCTGTCGGCATCGCGCCGCGAGTAACTCGGATCACGGAGGGGCCACTCGGCACGGAAATCGAAGCGGCTGCGAACCAACGCGTGTCCTCGTTGATTCTGCGCCGGCCTTTTGTGGGCGGAGGGCTCCCCGCGTGGGTGGGGCGACACGATTGGATGGACTCAGTCACGGGAGGTGGGGCGGGGCGGAGGCATCGGACGGCTTTGATGGCTCCTCACGGAAACGAACGGCTAGGATGAAACGGTGGAGGCTATAATGGACCGACGCTAACGCGGCAGGGTGTCGGCACTGGTACGGGACTCTCCGTGCGAGTCGCGTCCACGTGCCGCCTATACTTTTTTCGTGTCGCAAAATCGAATGCCTGCTGTTGTTACCCCCTCATCGTCGCCATGGGTCGTGCTTTAGGGCGACAATCCTATTTCAGGAAAAAAAAATAAAAAGAAGGTTATATTCACAAATAATTTTGATTATACAATGAGAAGAATTTATGAAAAAGAAAAAAAAAAACCATACGCAATCCTACCTGATTTCCCAATCGGAGCCAATTAAATCCGATCTCATTTAAGATTATCATTCTTGATTGCAGCATATATTTCTTTCGTGTGGTTTTTGGTATATAGCTTGGCAGATCCATGATATCCTTCTCTCTTCTCGGCTTGACGTGTGACGACGTAACATGTGATGCCGTGGCTTGCCGACATTTGCCTCTGCGTCATGTTACGCTGAGTTGACTTGGTCACCGTCGTTGATTTCGTCTTGATGCTCTGTGACATGCAATCTACGAAGAGGGTGAGAGTGAAAGAGTTGATCGAGTAGGTTACATGGAGCACCTGCCTGTAGTCCCATGGATTTGCGTCGAAAGCAACTCTTAACATAAGAGTCTCTCCCCAACAAAGATAGGGCTGACAGTGAGAGTATTTATTATCCATATTCACCCGATTTATTTAATTAAAAATTGGAAAAATTAGAAACATCAAGAACGTTACAATTCACTAGTATATCCATCGTGGGTTTCATTTATTCCTCCAATCTAACATGACATTGTCATTCTAGTCACACCTGATGAAGAAACAAAAAGGCCATGAAATCCATCACATTATCAAATAATCTGGATTTTATTTATCATTTTGTTTTTTTTTTTAAATCAATATCAGGTTCTGATAAGGATATCGAAGGGATATAATTGCACAAAATAAAATGACCCACCCTCTGAAACAAATGCAACAAAAGTAAAATTACAATATGCTTCTACACTTGCACGAACCAATGGAGTTTCATAAAGGAGATAGGAAGATGAACACAATTTTATGGAGACTACACTTGGAATGTTCATCTACAGTATTCTACACTGCATTATGTATATCCCTTTTAACTTATTTCGAACAATATCAAACCACACTTGGTAGCCAATATAAACTGGTGCTAGGAGTTACGGTAAACTGAAACATCTTACCTAGGTAAATTTAACTACTATGCAAGAAATATCATCTTTGCTCTTCCTTGCAACAGCCTCCTCTGTCAGATGCTTGGCAGCTGCTTGAGGATCTCTCGTATCCTTGATGAGATCCACTGCCTCTTCGTTTGACATTACCTGGTCAAAAACGTAAAGAGAAAAAATATTCTTAGATAAAAGAAAGGAAATACTTCAATAAATAAGAGCTGTCCGATCTCTTTTAATCTCCTCTTGTGAAGGACATATTGATGTACTTGGTTGCAGAAGCATGCAACATTCTCTATACAACAATACAAGTAAACTTCTATTCTACTTTATACTAAATTTGTTGGTCATTGCATGTATGCTACGGCAACCAAAATTTTCCTCACAGTCCTGCTTAAGGCTGAGAAATGGTCTCGGTCTTTCTCACACAGTTAATTTTAACATTTAAGTCTTATGAGAAAATGCTAATCTCAGGAAAGCAAAGGACTGCCACGAATCTACAAGAATGCACCTTCTGACATAGGTACACATCCAATGGAAGGAAGCCGCCAGATTAATGGGCAAAATGCATTTCATGTGGTTTGTAATTTCATCACCAAGAATAAGTCCATGAATTTTCAATCTGTAATCAAATTGTTCCATGTGATGATGCTTGCCCTTTTCAATAGAGAGTTTACCTTCCATAATCCATCACTTGCTAGGATCAGTGACTCTGTGTCATCATCGATGACATCATCGGCCACATCAGGTTCAGAACTGAGGTGTGCCTTTAAGCTGCAATCTCCGAATGCCCTTGCCACAGCCAGCTGCCCATCCACACGTGGTACATCTCCTGAAACAAGATATTGCTAATCAGTTTTTAAGGCTCATGCTCAACAGCAAACTATTACATTCCAGAATTGCAAATCACATATATAGGTAGCAACAGAATTATTTATCTTGTCTGCTGACACATCCCAAGCATCAGTTGCTTCAAAATGTAACCTGAATAGCAAGCAATTTTGCCTACGTAGAAGGATTTTTACAATGTGAGCGATAGACAACCAGCCCAAGGCCAGTCGTATCTGTAGTCGCAATGGCATTTCAGTTTAAGGTGGAACACACAAATCTTGATGGCACACAAATAAGATAGGAAAACAAAGAAATAGTCAAGTCATAGTTATTAACTACAAATTACGATTGTCAAAAAAGGCCGCCACCTATCTTGGAGTACCACAATAGAGTTAAATAATTTTTATTGATATTTCAGATGAATTATTGTTGTTACCCTGTTCATCTAACCAATGGTTGACAGTTTTATCTAGGTCAAACCGGTAAATATCAGTCAGCAGACTATGGCATGGTCCATGTTGACCGATGCGAGCCAAATCACAATACCAAGGATGTTAAATATATTTTCTGCTTGACACGAAACTCCTGATTAGCATCTTGGTAGTCCAATGGTCCCATTGCTTTAGCAATCCATGGTGCTATGATGCCCCACTTGAGATTTGGTTTTATTTAGAGTAGATAATAGGTCATGAGGATATGAGATTGGGGAATCTTGGAGGTTATGTTATATTGAATTTTGTGAAGAGTAATGCAACGGCTAAAATGGAAAGATTCATAATTATGTAAAAGATCTACATAGATTATGGCATCATGTTACCTATGCTACTTTATTACATAAACTATACATAATGACAAGTGTTTTATATCAACCTCTAGAGAATGACAAGTATCATATATCCATATCAATTTTATCCACATGTTTAAATAAAATAAATCACACTTCTCATGAGCCAATATAACTTTTAGAAAATCGACTAGATTTGCTATTTGGTTGTTTACCATCTGTGTCACACACCTTCAAAAATATTCACATACACCAACTGCACAACTTTTACCCATAGCCAAGTCGTTTATCACAAACTGCTTTGTTCAGAAGACGTCACGTCCCAACTATTTAAGATAAGCTACATGAATTTTCCACTCTACTAAGCTCTGTCCAAAGGAATATACCGCACTAGTCAAATTAAGAGTCACCAAATCTCTATATTACTGTTTCTAAAATTGTCTTTCTTCCTCTACTATCCTCACATCACTAGTTTTGATTGATCCATATCATCTAACCAAGTGCATCTATAGGTGGACAAGTGCATTTCATCTTAAACATATCACCTTATATATTTTTTGCTCACCTCGAAATTTTGTACTCACTAGAAAAAAATCTTATATTTTTATTTTTTCTAGTTTCCCACATACTCATTTTAACATTATCATCTTAGTGACAGATACTAACTACTTTGTGTTGCTTCCTATCAGTACAGCATTTTTATCCATAAAATATAGCCGAACTTACAATGTCCTTAAGATCTTTTTACTTGCAATGATCACAGAACACTCCTAGCACCGCCTCTTTGCACATTAATTATCTCTTTTTAAATCTTGAACAATATCTTCATAAATATCTCTCTTCTGATGAATAAGATATCAAACATATCTTTAACTTTTACTTCTTCAAAAGGTTTCTTGACCATGTATGTTTACTGTACACCTTAATTCTTCCCTTGGTATTATTAGAATTGCACTTCATATTTCTCCCCAGTTTAGGACTTTCTTGTTATCATTTGTCTTTATAACACAAGCTCAAAATTAGTTATACCCTTGATTTCTCACTTGGTGATGCTCATAATTTTCACTGTCATCAGTAGAACTCTGGACGATTGGTGAGTTTGCAATAATTTCTTTTCAACATATACATTAACAATGAGGAATCAAGTGAGACATTAGGTTCCTTCTCTTATCTATTATCACAAGCAAAGTACTTGAGGTTTTTCTCGTTTAATAAAGTCTTGTAAAGAATACTTTGCTGATATTCCTTGAAATCTCTACCATGGCTTGTTCAATTAATCAGCAATCTTGGTTCACTGGAAACTTTTCTTACCTGATTGGAAACAAGAATTACAATTTTGAATTTGTTAAAATACTTTGTGTTAAAGTTCAAGTCATAAAGACTAGTTTTAAAAGTAGCTATCTCTCTGTTTGCAAGATGCAAATGGTCCACATTAATTATGAAATTCATCATAAAGGTATAATGTTCTCTAGAGATTAGAGCATAACAAGAAAATTTCAGGATAAAATACAATGGAGAAGACAGGAAAAATGGATAGAGCTGATTTAGCGGAAAACTAAAGAACATCACATTCTAATAATAAAGAGGAGGTACAAGAAAACAGAAGAAATATGACAGGTATGAAAGAAGGATAATCAAAAGAAGAGAGCAGAAAGACACTCGGAAGAGCCAGAGCCAGTAGACAAGAAAACCATCAATTTATTGCTAAAGATTATCACAATAACTCACACTTCTAGGCAATTGTACATTATGCTTATAATAATTTTGTTTCACTTTGTTGGACAAAGACTCTACAAGATCCATGAAGAAATAAATTAGTCAATTGGCACCTTATCTAAAGCAGGGTTCGTCGTACCGAGCTGTACCGCTCGATATGGGCGGTATGTATCGGTCCAATAGGGTATCGATAAGCGGACCACCCTATACTGGGTGGTACCCAATATATGATCTTGTATCAGGCGATACAAGGTCTATACCAATCGATAACGATTGAAATCCAACCATTACCAATCAAGGGGTGAGATTGCTCTATTTCAAATGGTCAATTTGACCGTCTGAACCATAGGAAAGGGTTTTTCAAATCCTTTTCTCCCCTCTCTTTCAATCCATTTTACTCTCACAATCTCTTCAACTCTTTCAAACTCTTTCTCACTCGTATCTCTCTCTCATCCAAGAGGATCCTTTACTTGATGAGGCAAGAGATCCTCCACGTCCTTCGTGTTTTATCGCTAAGGCAATAGAAGAAAAGAAAACACATCCCCAATAGGAGGAAGATCCCCCTCAATCAGAGTGTGTTGTAAGAAGTCAGATACCATGGAGTCAGACTGTTCGAGGAACTAGAGATACCCAACCGTCACAATCATCCGCCTAACGCACAAAAGCAAAGGCAAAGGGAAGACATGAGCATCAGTTACACGATTAGAAATAATCGAGTCGAGCAATGAGTCACCTTCTCAATCGCATTCAACAACCCGCTCAATCCAAAGACATGATAGCGACGTGGATAGTAGTGCCTCGACCGTGGATGGCGATGACATCGGGGAGTCGATGGTCCCCTCTACACAATTTGAGAGTAGTGCATCGACCAAGGAGCAGTATTTTACACATGTCACCCAAAATTCACTAAAACCATTCAGTTCCTTAAATAAGTAAGATAAACAAAAAAAAAAGAAAAAAGAAAACTCGAGCAATCGAACCATATTTTCAGCCAAAACTTACCAAGACATGGATTGCAGTTGAGTTTGTTCTAAACCTATGTAATTCTAGCAATTCCCAATCATGCAAACAGTCTGCCCCTTTTATTATCTTACCAAGCTAGTAATTACCTTAAAATTTTGTCATTTAGCCATGCGTTGTATTAAATTCGTTTAAATCATTACCATAAATTTGACACGATGTTGTGAAATTTTTATGGCGATCCATCAAGTTTGATATTATAACTCTTCTCTGTTCTCCAGGTACTACATATATGGCATATACAGCACATCAACCACTTTCCATTCAGTTCCAACTTGTTGCCATATTTGTTCATAGGTTAAATAAATTGGGAAGGGAGCCTCAACAACTTAAAGTAACAAAAATAAATAATTTATAAGTTACCTGGAATGTTTGACACAAATCCTCCCTTTTCCTCAATCAAACGCTGCTCGGTGCTTGGTTCATGATCGACAGAAAGTTGTCTGGCTACACCATTCTTTGAAATTACAGCTCGTGAATCTCCAATATTAGCTACCACCAGCTTTACTCCATCTATTAAAATAGCTGTAACTGCAGTAGAACCTCCTCTTCCCAACTCAGCTGCTTTTTCCAGTATTTTCTGATCAGTGCGATCATATGCTTTCCTGATTGCACTTTCTATATCACTCCAAATTTCAGGCTGCAGGAATATGAAGGTTAGCAGAGTTTACATATTCAAGCATGTAATTAGTATTTGCATCATGAATGTTTGATGGTATGAGTAACAATCTTACAGAATGTCGCTAAAGCAAATGTTGAAAATGCAATTTGGTTACCTCTTTCAATATGTTCTCGAATAGATGAGATCGCAGATAATCAGCAACATCATGGCCCAAGTGGCCATCAAAAATCGCAAACAATCCCAATTCATGGTCATCAACTTTCTTAAATTCCGCCACCAGATAGTCCTCCATTGGATGGCTGGCTTTTCCCTTCACCAAGTGATAGCCATGTCGGATATTCCTGCCAGAGATCTTGCACCTGCCCTTTCCAGTCTCTGACGATGAAGCAAACCCCGCTTTTGCCTGCGAGGATAACATGATCCCACGTAAATCGTACTTGGAAACCGCATGATAGATTTGATTATAGAGAAAGATAAGAAAACTAGTGTATGAGGTCTACATATGAAGCTCAACAAAGATTCAAATGATGCTCAAAAGGCGTAAATTTTCCATCGCTGCTTTGTTCCATGCCGCCGAATTTTCGAGTAGCATCGTGGAATTCCGCATCAACCTCAACAAAATTTATACTCATCGAAAGAAAGAAAGGAGCGACGAACAAGATCAGAGCAGAAATGATGTCACAAACCAAGCATCAAGATCAAGATCCGTACGGGTAAGGCAACGGACGCTACAAGCGAAACGAAAATTGAAAGACATGGAAACACAAGATTTGAGGCAGGTTTGATGACGCACTTTCAACTTGTGCAGGATCTCCTTCCCCGTCATTCTCCAGATCTGCTCCGCTCGCGATCAACCGGCGCTCGAAACCTAACGATATCTTTTTGGCTAGAGAAGAGGAAAAGGGAGAGTGAAGGAAAAAAGAGGTGCTGTGGGGATTAATAGATCAAAAAGGAAAGAAGCACTCTTTCTTCCTTCGACACGGGATCTTATGAACGGAGAAATCCAACTTGGGGGCGTTCGTTGTCGTTGTGGAGTCAGTCGGTGGCGTCATGGCGAAACCCTTCGCCCGTTCCGCTTCCCTCGGTGCTCCTCCACGAGCTTGTCCTGTCTTATCCAAGACAGGGTCCGGGGCTTTGTCATCCTCTAAGAATGCGGGATGGGACGATTGTCTATTTGGCCTCGTGGAGCCCACAGCTGCCAACAATTAATAACCGAAACAACAACCCACTTATCTCTCGAGCGGGACACGATAACCGGACTCCGCGCGTGGGGCCCATGACTCGGCCACCCTGAACCATGCATGGGCTCGAACAGCTGAGCCACAGAACGTACTCTGAACGCGAAAAGCATTCGTCTCTACAACAGGTTACAAGGGGTCCCAAGATGATCCGGTGAAGGGAGGCTTGTCTCGATCCTGATATGCTGATGGCCACGGTGGATGCGCGCGCTTCTCTCGCAGCCTTTGTTGACCAGGATCAAATCCAGTTGTTTAATGAACGGTGGTGATGCCGCGAGATATGGCTTCCGAGTCGTCTGTCATCCTGATGACACCGCCGTGGAAAGATCACCGACCAAAAACACGTGCGTCGAAAGAGACTCTCCCTGGCTTTTATGTGAAGTCATCATATACACACGTCTCCAACCGCCGAGCTCTTTACCTCAGGAAGTAGTAGTAGGCGAATCATCCCCGTGACAATTCGAACTAGCATTTGTGCAACGTCTAAAAATATTAAGACCCTCCTCCATACATCAACATAAAAACCAACCACTATGATCTAATTAATCTAATGACCAATGTCTGCAAGTTTCGAATATATCAAAATTTAGAGAGAGAAATACACAACAAATGGAGGCCCAAATAGTTGAGCATTTGTTTGATGGTTGACTTACTGCAGCATTTGTTTAAGCTATCAATTTAATCAAGATACGCTTCGGGGACTCCTGACTCACAATGAATCAAAGCCAGCTAGCTGACAATTGCATCAAAAGAATTTGATTGTGTAGAATATACGACTGGCTACGTAGTACACACACTCGGTTCCTGAGTGTTACATATTGTGCAGACAAGACTGGTTCAAACAGTCTTGAACGACTGCAGAAGCAAATCATCTCATGTGAAATGCCTGCCGCAGCTCGACTCTGTGATTCACACGCAAGTCTGGTGACTTTGGCTTTGTAGCTTCCTTCGTAGATCTGTAAACATATTACCGCAATCTAGTCAGAAATAAAGAAACAAGGGAAGCAGAGGTTTCTATTGATTCTATTATAAGTTTTCATACTTCTGAGGGACAAATGGATTGCTAAATTTTGGAAGGGGCTTTGCGTGAGGCACCATTGTTCTCCTCATCTGCTTCACTGCCTTCTCTTCTTCCATCTGGAGACAAGAAATTCATAATCATGAACCGACCGATGGTACACCGTGAACAAATCTAAATTGCAAATTTTCAGTGGTTACCATCTGTGCAAATTCCTGCTCTTCTCTTAATCTCTTGTATGTCAATTCTTTCTCCTTAATCTGCACATGGTATCAACAAACTCAAGATCACACCTTTATGATGTTGCTTCCGCAGGGGTATGTCATCATACTCCTCACTCCTCTCTCACAACAGTGAGACATAAAATAAACATGTGCAAGCAGAATGTGTCGGAGCAGAAACAGTTAAATGCAAGCAGACATAATTCTAGCAAGGGGACTTTGAGCTCTTCAATATTCTAAGTTTTCACAGTAGAAAGTTAGAAAACAAATGATGTTAAGGAGTTGTAAAGAAATTAAATGATGTAAAGACTTGTGAAGAAAACAAATGATGTCCTACACACACAGATGCTCAGGAGCAGCAAACAAGTATTTATTTAAGACTGTCAAGGATGGAAGGGTTCAAAACAGACTTGACAATAAGAATTCAGAAAAAAAGGTAGTCAACTGTGGAATCAACAAGGCCAGATTTGACAATAAGAATTCAGAAAAACGGTAGTCAACTGTGAAATCAACAAAGTTGGCACAGCTTAATTACCAGATATGACAAAGAGATGCATGAAGAATGAATTAACAGTGAAGAGTAACCTTTTGATCAAATTCTGTTCTTTCGACAGCTCTATGGTCCAAATGCAATACAAACTCCTTGATTTCAGTGAGAGGCTTTCTCTCCCTTTGTGGAAGTGGTAGAGGGTCACTGCCATAATGTCGCAAAATACTTTCAGTTTGTCTTCAACTAACACACAGAAATTGTGAATTATAAAAGTACTGGAACTTACTCGTTTAAAATGGGCTGTGCTCTAAAAATTCTTCGTTGTGCCTCCTCTCTTTCCATCCTTTCTTTCTCTTCTAACTTTCTCTGCATCTCCTCTTCGTGTCTTACAAGGCTTTCTAACTGAAAGGCTTCTGGCTTTGTACAATGCTTAGGCTCAGGTTTGGGAGGTATCTGCAAGCACGCGAAAATTGCCAAAATGCAATGAGAGCAAGGTATCGTTGTAATTGTGTTGTCATTGGTAATAAATAGATAGTGCTTCTTACCACCGGATAATCAGTAGTATACGGGTAAGGGTTTGCCTTTGGAATTCTAGCCCTTTCCTCTTCCAACTCTTTCTGTAAAATCTGTTCTGCAAGTTGCCTTTCTTTCTCAAACCCTCGCTCCTAAAACAAGGGGAGATCAGGAGAGTCTTAGATTATAACTGAAAGATGGAAAACCAGCATTTGCAAAGAACATAGTCCACATACCTCTGTATGAAGATGGAAAGGAGTTGGAATTGTGACTCTAGGAACTTCTTTCCTCTCATGATTAGAAGTTTCAGAATGCAGTGAAAGCTGAAATTTTTGAAATGCAATTATCAGTAAATTTCTCATACTTCTGCTTGATGTAAAACCAAAAAGCAATCTGATGCCTGCCTTATCGAAAAGTTGCACTACTGCTGCAGGAGGACCCAACCTCTCATTTGTTGCAAAGTGAAATTCCTCAGTAATAGTAATCTGGGGCTTTGGATTACAAAACAAGCCTATTTCCCCTTTGCTCTCAAGAATCTGGATATATCAGACAGAATTTGGTAAATGCATCAATCTATAAATGAGTGAGAAAAATATTGCATGGTTTGTTTGATTAAAGAGACCTTCTTATTGAGTGGCCTAGCCTTGAACTTTGGTATCTTTTCAAGATCCTCCAACTCTAATTCCTGAGTACTCTTGATCCTGTAAAAGACAGGTCTATCAGTGGCAGTGAAGCAACATAATAGTGCATGATGCAACGTTCTCTACGACATATAACTGAGATTATACATTGGTGGTCGAGCTCGGAGTGACGTTTCAAGATGAGGAGGCCTCGGTTCAGTAAGTCGGAAAGGTTTGTTCTGATTCTGTTAGATTGTGTGATCAATTTATTAGAAGCAATATTATATGAATGACATCCTCAACAATTAGCAAAGACGAAACAAGGAGAGGTACCTGAACGGAACCATCTATAGAGGAGACTACTGATGATGTTTCAGTATGTTGATTTGCTCTGTCCATTGTCTTAAGATGGAATTCCTTTGCAAATTAATAAAATAGGTAAGTCACAACTGCCAACTTCTTCATAGCTGATGGAAAATCAAGCAAATCCAACCTGGAAAATAGGTGGTTGTGGAACACTTTTGGGCAATGCAGGAAATGAAGGTGCTTCAAAAATCTGCAAAATTAAAAAAATATTGACATAAATATAGACCTCAAGTCTGACGGAAACAAAGGTTCTTGAGAGAAACAGGAAACCTTCTTATTTAACGGACGAGCTTTGAACTTGGGGATCTTTGCCAGCATCTCTTCTTCTAGCTCAGCAGAGCTCTTAATCCGTACTGCACGAACTCGGTGGGCTGTTTCAAATTCAGGATTTTTTGGCCTCGTCAAGGTAAGTTTAGGCCTCCTTTGTATTACTGAAGCTGTATCATCCTGAATAAAATATCATATGAGAAAATGAAGGCCTTCTAGAGATTGTCAAAAATCGGAAGCAAAGAGCAAAATCTTATTACACATCACAGGTAAAAATTTATATATTGAGAACTATATATCTTTAAGATCTAGACATTTGTGAATATCTTGCAATGAGAATAACCGGGCACACTCCAATACCAAGATAATAAAATATGTAAGGCTGTGCTGGTGATCTCATTCGACTAATATGATTGCAATAAATCTCAAGTGAGCAATATAAGTTGAGCACTAGAAAGCAATCAACTAAGTCAACTCTTTACTTGCAAGGGAAAGCATGTCTAAGTGATCCATTTCAGTGTGACCAATGTGCAACTTCTCTGGTTTGAAGCTAGCTACGTGTCTTTAAGCTAGTTTTGTCTTTGTCTTCTGCAGTTGAGTTTGATGTCACCACTAGTCTTGTAAAAGATAATAGACAAAACATAAAGATGTAGCTAAACATCAAAGTAATAGTTGTTATTAATAGGCATATTATGCACAAACAACACAAGTAATTCCCACTAATGCTCGTACCTACTACCAAAAAGTAATATATCTGCAACATAACGAAGTATGCAAAGTATACAAGTTCTTGGATCTACTCAAAATTCTTCCTTTGGAATGCTCTTAATGTTTTAGAATAAATAACAGAGAAAATGAAGATCAGGGAATCACCAAATTTCAAGCTGATTAATAATGAAGCTCAAGAGGGCCACCTAAGATCAAGCTGATTCAAAACGAATCTCAAGAAAAACACCTAAGATCAAGGTGATCAGAAAAGCACTATGCATTCAGTTCTGAGTATGAAATCAGGCTGTTCTATAAAATGTGACCAGATTGCTAATTCGCTGATAAGAATCAGAGCCGACTTAAAAGAATTAGCATAAGCTACTTGACTGAGCCTACACTTACAGAGCTCATTTACACATCAAGAAAAAAGATAGATAAATCACACTGTGGAGTGAGAGAAAAGTCTTAGATTCTAACTAACATTTGAAAGTGATCTATTCTGAGAGAGATCCAAGTCTCTAGTCCTTGAATGGAATTTATTAATCATCTCTGCAGCAGATATGAAGGGTGATATTTCCTGTTTCACAACACAAAACACAAGTTATTTTGTGTTAAAGAAACAT